GGAAAGTATAAAATTACTTATCATCATCATTAATACTGTAGTTATATTCTTATTAAGATGGAAGGCAAAGGTCAAGCATGAGGTGTTAGCTTTGTTCATTTTGATCTTCCAGTAAGTTTGGAGAACCTGCTCTGTTTTGTGGTAATGATAATGGCAGCTTGGATGAAGGATCAGCCCTTCATCTAGGCCTAGAAATGTGGAAGTGATTCTGTTCTTTACTGTGCCACACTGCAAGGATTGGAGAATGATGGTGAGAGAAATGTGTCCACCATATTTGCCATGTCATGTGACTCTCTATCTAAATCATTGCTGCCACACTGAAGCAAGCAGGGAGCAGGCATAAAGAATGAGACCTGTTGTACCAATTTGCACTATGGCAACATCAAAGCTCATTGACTACAGGAGGAGAAGGAATGGCCTGTATTATAAATGGTCAAAGATGGCATAGAAAGAACTTCTCCTCTTCTCCTCACTTATCCTTCCAGTTGACCTTGGTACCTTTGCTGGAAAGAAATGATGTGCTGGGAACAGTCCATGGTTCATTGTTAGTGGGTATTATGACTCACAGGTATACTTTGATCTTTCACCACCTTTTACAACAATGCTTACTAGAGAGATCGCTATTTCTGTTTTACTTCTGGAGAAATGAGGCTGAGGAACGGGGTCTTGTTCAAGATTGCCAATGGCCCCATGGCTGAGGTGAGAACAGAACCCTGCAAAACCATGGGCTGCTCTGTCTATGTATTGGATCTTATAGTCGCTCAAATCAGGGTTCAGACAGATCCCTGGTAGTTTGCTGCCTAAATCAAGCAAATCCTTTTCTTTTCCACCTTCATGATTTACAACTTTCACAGACATATATACTTATACCCAAAAATATTTGGGTGCAGTTCAACCATCACAAAGGCGTCCCACAGTTAGCCAGGGCACTGTTGTATATAATTAAGGTTGCTATTTTCATATTCTCTTTTCCTTGAGCATATTTTGGCTCCAATTTTCAAGCCACTTCCCCTGGAGCAGCCCCAATGGCTTCTGTGGGAATATCATTCTCACAGGGATTGGGGGAGGGTGGAGGTAAGTTCAAGTATTATAGTCTTCTGAATCTGAAATATGGATTTACTGTGCTTATGATAGGATAGCATATTTATACTATATATCTCTGGGGCAGGGAAAGGTACAAGACGCTGTTCCTTTTGATATTATGACTAAAACTAGGGCATCTTTTGGAGCAGAATGATATGACATTCTCTGCATAAAAGCTGCATGCAGTTCAGTTTTCAGACATTTCAGGGTTTGTTTTATATGCCTTTGGCACAAAAACCTTCTTGCCTGCTGAAATCCTATAGAAATGCAGTTCATGATTGATTGAAAAGGAATGATTGAATGAAAAAGCAAGTGTAGAGACTGGGCCCACTTTTCCTAATGTACAAGATTCCAAGTCCAAAATGGGTTGGTAAAGCCCTAAATGGGATGGAGCCAAGTTATCTGAAGGAACACTTCTTTCTGTATGTGTCCCAAACCCTGAGATCATCAGCAGAATTCCTTCTCAGAAAGCCCCCGCAAAGCAAGCAAGGGGAAGGGCTACTAGGGGAAGGGCTTCCTTGGTTGTGGCATGCCATCTGTTAGCTTGTTAACTTCTTAGCAACCTTTATATTACTCACTCTGTATCACATAGCGAGCCCTGGCTGGACAGCTTTAATGCAGTAAAAAACTGTAGACATTCTACAGAAGAGTCCTAGAAGACTCTCTCTAGGAAAAAGGAGAAAGATGGGAAGAGAGACCAGCTGCCAACAGCATGATGGTTTCCTTGAAAAACATGATCCGCACCCATTTAAAAGAGGTGTGAGGCATACTTTGATCAAGGGCTGCTTTCCCTAAAGTGTTAGGGGGCCACAGTGCCTCCTCTCAAGAGCACCACCACTCTGCTCTCCCCTCTGTCATGCACTGAGAGATTATCATGAGCCCAAACTGTTTCTCACTCCTCACCCCATCCACCCATTCTCTCCCCCTCAAGCCCACCTGCCACCCCATGATCTGCTTTCATGCATCCTAGGCTTCCTGCCCATGTTTCCTTTCTGCCACACCAAGTAGGTCACAGGGAAAATGGCGCCAAGTGGCATGTGCGCCCACACTCACCCCTGTTGCCAGTTCCACAATCATGTGGCAAAATGAGGCAAAGAGGATGAGCAGGGGGCTGTTCCATGAAATCTCTTTTCTCTTCTAAGCCCTCCTTTCAAGCCAATAAAGTATGCACTGATATATTTCTCCTAGTTCAATCATTCTGTACAGTATTTGTATACATGAGTGCAATTTTAAAAATATTTGGCACTGATGAATTAACATGGAAGGAAATATTTGGGAAGGAATGGGTGAACAAGGGAGTGATGCGGGACCAACAGTAACTGTTCACAAAATAATGACTGACTGTTGCAAAGGGATTCACAGCACAATGTAACTGGTGCATTGGTGGTTCGCATGCTAAACCTATCGACTTATATGCCTGGAGCAAAAACCACAACATTCCCTATGGAAGGCATGTGAGAGCCACAGCTATTGCCTAGATGCATCGTTTTGTGTTTCCATCTGGAGATTGCAGGGCTGGATCAATCCCATGATGGGGCTTGGGCTAGAGGGTGCCCAACTCCATCCCACCTCTGAGGTTGCTCCCGTGATATTTGTGGATGTATGCATACACAATAGTATATATGTGGAGACAATGCAAGCATATGCTAGAATTCAGATTTAGGATGAATCACCTGTACTGACAAAAGTGGATATTCTACCTCTTCCTTCCAAAGAAGCTCCTCCAGCCCTTTGAAAATATCACACAGAAAGCCAGGAGACCCTAACTCCTGGAGAGAGGCTTGCTTTTGGCGGCAGAAGCCAAAAATCAGGCAGAGGAACCTTCCATAACTGGAGCACTTGCTCTCAGGCAATGTCCCCTTCTATTGCAGAATCTACGCCACATACTGGTGCAGCATTCTCTAAACTGATGCTTCCCCAGACATTTTAGAGAACATCTCCCATCAGTCCTAGTCAGCATTACCAAGGGTCAGGAATGCTGCCGTCTCAAGCAATCGAATATAGCCTGCAGTTCTACAAATAAAATTAGAAGTGTTTACACTGGAAAAAAGAGTGGAGAGGAGAGACAGAAAGCAAGAAAAATCAGTAATAGCTGGAAGGCAACAGTTCGGGGTAGGTTGTCCCTCATGGTTTTCTGAAAGCAAACAATGCAGAAGCTGCCTTTATGTATTAATCATGTGATCCCACCTAGTGTTACAGAGTGTGGAGAAGTTTACTTATCTGATTAATAGCCCTCAAATGTTTATAAACCAAAGACAAAGTTTTTAAAAGGGATTGTTTATTTAAGTGGATCTTGAATGCCACTAAGTCCATCTCTAGCTCATGGGATCCAAAGTAGAAATTCTGAACTCTCTCTTACGCTTTCCGTGCACATCAACAGTAAGCGCAAAGAATATAGATTATTTAATACAACTTAGCAAAAATACTGTGCTGTAAGGTTCATCCCACAAGTGACACTTTGGAAGTGGATCTAGACTGCTGATGCTGAAGGCCCTCTTGAGACAGAGGACTTCTGGTTTGCATAATCTGGCCTTGAAATTGTGGTTGGCTTTGGGTGCACTTTTCTACTCAATCAACTCAAACCTTTCAAATCAATACAGAGGGCTTTGAATGCCCTGAAGATTGCTGGGAGGACTGTGCTGGAGTATCCAACCTCAGATAGCTGGAATGTCATAGAAAATTCACACTGTGGCATCATTACAGTCTTTGCCTAGATAGCAGCGTGATGGCAGCATAATGCAAGACCTGAAAATGTCTGCTGGTATTTTGTTAATTGGATGGAAGATGAGATTCTTCCTTCCTTTAGAATGAGTCTTTACATGACTTATTTTGGAGGTTGGATGTATTCGCATAGTCCAAATTTTCAACATGCCCTGATCCCCTGAACATGCTTGCAGTAGATTTCTAATAAAGTGCTCCCAAAGTCCTGTCTGGAATTCATGCTCTCCAACCCAGAAGCCCAGCTTCCCTCATGTCTAATGCACAGAAGCAGGCGGTAGTATAAGCCAGCAGGAATGGAATGGTGCTTTGCACCAGCTCTCATCCTTTCAACAGAGCAGAAGAGAGAGTTTCATGGGCTGAAATCAAGTCCTGCCACATACATCATAGGAACAATTACTGAAACAGAGAGGGCTATCTTTAAGAGCACCTTGCAAAGAAAGCATCTGAGAGGTAATATAAGCAGCGACTAGTAATGCTGCATTGTTATTTTGTCACATGCAAAACCCTAGCCATATTGTTGAAGCAGAAATTAAGATTGCCTCACTCTGACATAATTTTCATCATATGCATAATTTGTTATATTTAACAAATATGGGAGTTTTTTTTTAAGTGACTAGGCTGGTCTCTCTTTTCCCATAGGCTACCTGAAAGATCCCAGTGTCGACCTCTGTTTAAGCAAGGAAAATAAGTTTTAAGGCAGCAGGGCCACATCAGCTAACAGCCTCTATTCTCCAAGTTCTATGAATGACATCTATTCTTTAAGCCTGGGTGGGGAACATGTAGTCCTCTAGAAGTTGTTAGACCCCAGCTTCCATCAACCTCAGCCAGTATGGACAATGGGCAGGATAATAAGAACTGTAGTCGAACAGCATCCGTACTATAACTATTTTACCACCTCTTTTTCTGCTTTGGCATTATTCAGCAGTTTCTCCAAAATAGTGAGGTGTCACTCAATGAATTGCAACTTTTGTTATGCTACTGGTGGATCTCTATCAAATAAACAAGAGAAAATGCAATGCATTGGAACAATGCAATTTCCCCAGGCTAGTCAACTTAATATGAGACCATTGGTTCAATCCCTAAATAGTTCAAGTGTACGGTAGAATTATCGTGAATTACTTCATTGTGCACTGTTTTTTCAAATGATAGACATACTACTTATTTTCTGCAGCTTGAAACTATAAATATGTTGTTACCATTAGCAGGAAGATAGGTGAAAAGCTGGTACTGGCTTCTCTTTCTCTTTCCATTGCAGACATAAAAATTAACTTGGACCGGAGCTGTAATTCTCTGACTGCGGAATGGTGGTATCTCAATTACCAACGAAGTCTAAAAAAAAAGCAGTTTATAAAAGTTTCTTTTAATAAGACCCATCACTTGATGCAACAATGGCTTAAACTTAAGGTTTGTATACTAATCACATTCCTGTACAAACATGAGGAATATGGTTACCTCCAGAATATTTCCTGTGTGCTTCAGGGTGAGCTTTCCTACACTGGGCTATGCAGCTGCAAATCCAGGCAGTCTGATAAGGCATTTATTTTATGCAGACATAAACCTAGGCATGGACTATATCAGTTATGAAGTGAGCATGCATGCACTTTTATTTTGTTGCATGCCTCTCTGAGATACTTGTTACTGGTCCCCGACGGTTGGGAGTGGAGAAAAGTTATAAAACTGACTGAGGGTGTGTCACTTGTAGGTGAGCAAGGGAAGAGGTAAGCACTCCTCTCACCTAACAGTTTTCACTCTGTCTTCCTCCTCCTCAACCCATATTTTCTTATGAAAGAAACAGTTTATGAACTTTCCATTTTCCTCATCATGTTGAGTTCTATTCCAAGCCTTTCCGAGATCACCACTTGTGAGCATTTCAAAAGGATGGACATTTCTCTTTACTTTATACCACACATGTATTCAGTGTATCATATTGCAGATTTTATACCTGAGTAAAAGAAGGAAAAATCTTGCTTGAAATAGCTGGTGTTTGAAGCTTCTTTAGTTAAGTCTTCCTAGGGGAAGCAATCCTATGGCCTCCTGAGGTTGTCTTGGGGGTCATAGGATAATTCAGAGACCCAGCTCTGAGGACCTGCAACTTCAGAGTTGGGATTCTGAAGGCCAAGCCTCCATCCTGTGTCCCTTGCAGTTTGGTGGAAAGATCCACACCAGTTGCCTCCTTGAGAGGAGGAAAAGAGTTATGTTGAGCGATGGCCAGGAAGCATTCTGGAGGCAATGGGTTACTCCATTTCCTACTGGCATTCCAGCCTCCTTCCCACCCACTCCCTAGCATCATCCAGACCGCCAAAAGTGGCCATCTTGATGAAATGCATGGTGTGGGGCACTGCAGTGATGGCTATTGCTGCCAACACGCCTTGGTCCATACACTGAATGCACATAAGCCTCTGGGTTTGGAAGGCATTGGACTGTGCCCCTAAGCATAGTCTTCAAACCCCTTCAACAAAGTCAGAAGAGGGCATTCTCATGAAAGACCAAATACCCGTCCAATCATTCTTGTCTCCCTTGCCTTGATCATCCTCTAAGCCAGCACTGAATTCAAGTGTGTCAGCAATGGCCTGAAGTAAACTGATGAAAATGGACTGCAGAAATATGCTCCCCTGCTGTAGAGGCTCTGTCTCTCCTGAATCAAAATTCTGCCAACAGCACTGATGCATCATTTCAGAGTAGCTGCCCACACTCTAAACCACAGTGCAGAGCAAAGCAGAGCAAGTAGGTTCATGCTTCCAAGAAATAAACTTCTGAATCACCTGTTGGAAGCCATGTGATGGAAAGCAGGAGCGCTTTTTCCATCTGTGTGTGCACGCGCGCGCGTGTGTGTTAAAGCCAGTTAGAATCCACACTGTTCAGGCCAAACTCAGATGGCTGGTATTACCCCTTTGATTTTGACAGTAATGAAATCTTAATGGATATGATGGCAGGCACTGGCACAGAAAATAAAAATAAGCATAACTCCCTATCGCTCCCACCCGAAAATGACATGTAGCATTGAAAAAAATTACCACTGCTCTATAAGATAAAAATTGCAGATTGACTTCCTTTCAATATAAAACAAACCAGCAAGCAAAATTACTTTTTACAGATTTTTAAACCATTGCTCTTTCATGCTGGTTTCAGTACAGAACAACCTGGCACCACGTAGGTTCTCATGTTGATGTATACTGCATTTTCCAACACCTAATCATTTAGTGGCTCACAACTCAATGAACAGGTCTTGGTAAAAAAGACGCAGTAATCCTAACTCTTTCCAGTGGTTTTGAAGGAAGAGTAGGATAGCGTGGCAGGAAAGTGATCTACTGGTGGATGGCTATGATGGGCCTGGGGTCTCCAGCAATGCATGTGGAAAGTTCTGGAGATGTACATTTACAGCTTATAATGTTCTTGCCAGTGGTAGGCCTTGAAACAGGATGTCTTCCATGGGCCCCAGAACTCCTGGCTAGCACAGCCATGCCCCCTCTCATTTTAACCAATGAAAGGAAAAACTACAAGGGACAGCAACAATACAGAAGGTAAATCTGGCCCAGGTGTCCTGGCGAACATAAACCGGGGTAGCTTTGGATGTGGTGTTGATCTGCCATGCTGCTCACTCAGAACCCCGCTTAGAATTGCTCTGTTAAAATTGTTTGGCAGCAGTTCTGTTTAGGACCATGTCTTATGTTGAGGTTTCCGGTGAGACAACTGTAGTGAAACTAGCAAAACAAGACAGAACCGCTGTGCAAGGAAAGAGTGGTTGTGGGGCGGGGGGAAAATTATCTGAAAAATTATGCTTTAATCCAGCTTTCATATGGAGAGAAATAATGATTTTATATTTCAGTAAGTGAATGCTGAAAATATACATATACATGCTGTTGTGACATATGCTAGTTTTATTATAGTTCCTGTGAGTTGCTGATCATGTTATGTTGGTTTTATTGTTTTACTGTTTTACGACTATTTTATTGATTGTTTATATGTTTTTACATTTGTAGACCGCCCAGAGAGCCCATGGGCTATGGGGCAGTATATTAGCATAAACAATAAATAAAATCTACAGGAAAAATGCTCTTTCTCAAAGAGTCAGGAGTACTTACTGGCTTATACAACTCTTTGTCAGTTTTGGCTTCCATTTCCCATATGTGATGACCATCTAAAAAAAAAAGAACAAGAAAAATGATATAAAATTCCACTCCTTTATTTATTCCTTCATAAGTGCCAGAAATGGAAGCAGAAGCAGGGATGGAAATCTCTATTTACAAGATGCTCTCTTTACTCTCTCACACATATGAAGAAAGAGTCAGTTTCGTCCACCCTTTTCACCTACTCTTCTCCAGTGCAATCAGGCCCTTCAAAATAAATACAGGGCATATTTCATGGGAGGTACAAGAATTACAGACTGTCATTCAAAAGAAGAGCAGAAAGCATTCAGTTGTTAGCATTAAAAAAGGCCAGAATCCTCTCTTGGGCCTGCTTCCACAGCTAGGGACATACTTGTCCTAATTTTTACTTTCGAGCATGTTTATGAGAGGTGCTGAAGTGTGCCTAGAGATACATGGATTTTTTTTTTTTTTTTTTTTTTTGCTTAACTGCCATTTGGGGATCATTGGCCCAGTGCTGGTAGCAAAGACATCTGCAGAAGGAAACCTGGCATCGTCTCATTTGCTCATTTATTACAGCAGTGTGATGTACAAATGCAAATAATATTTATTTTAAACCTTTGGCCGTGTCGGTGTTTGCATGTTCAACCTCTCTTTGACTTCTCATCTTACTTTCAGTTTCCAGATTAAAAACGAAGCATCTAGAGGTGTGTGATTTGGAGCAACTACCTATAGACATTTTTTCCTTTATGCAAAGCAATCTCATGACACAAGGGGCACGGGTACAGGGCTCTCAATTGCTTTTAGGCTGTAATAATAGGAACTCTTTCAAATGCACATGTACATAACTGAACCCTTTAAAAATGCACATAATACAAATGCCAGTTAGATTTCATTAGTTTTTCTGAGCCGCACTGAAAGCAACCTGATGCTACGCTATTGCGGTACGTATCATGAGGTGAAATTCTTGTCGGATTTGTTCTGCTCCTACAGAGGGCACAATGGGGCAAGGAGCTGTTTTACCGAAGAGAGGACAGCTGGATATTGCCTGATGAAGGGATGCCCCTGGCATTATTGGAGTGAGCAAAGCGGCTGCTATGCGTACCCTGCACTGCTCCAATAATGCCAGAAGCCCCAGGCTGAATGGGCGCCTCTACAACATAATTCCTCCCCGTGCTGGCACCCACCAATTCCAGAAGGAAGAAGCTGTGCTAGAAGGCAATGATGAGGGTTGCATGATTCCCAGTGTGCATGATTCCCATAGCATCCGGTCAACCATCTTCTGTGTGCCACTCACATGGTTGCCCAGTGTCCTTAATCGCCCCCACTTTACTGTATGGCTTACTGTGCTGTGAGAACCCAGCACGGGTAGGTTGTTGCTGTGCTTAAGAAACCACCCAAAACACACAGGCAATTTAGGGTTCTCGGGTGGCTTGTTAACCCACCTTCCCCAGGTCTGCGTAAAAAGGTGAGTCACATGAGCAATGGTAAGCAAGGGAAGTGGGTCAGCACATGAAAGGCATGCACGGCCTGGTTAACTGTGGCTTGCTAACTGCATGGCGATCATGCAGACCGGCTCACCGACTCATCTAAGAAAAGCAATGCTTGATCAGATCTAGTTCGGTTGCCTGTGGGGCAACCAACTGGAATGCACAGGGAAACTCGCCTATATAATTGTCATAGAGCCATTCCAACTAGTAGCCATTGATTGCCTTACTTTCTATGAATTTATCCCATCCCCCTTCACAGTCATTTAAGCTGGTGGCCATCACTACATTTTGAGGTGCTGAATTCCATATCCATAGTTTATCCATATGCTATGCAAAGTACTTGCTTTTATCGGTTTAGAATCAGCCTCATGGGATGACCCCAGCTTCTGCTAAATATTTATCTAGCCAGCTTGTCCAAACCATGCTTATTTTTGTACACCTCTAACCAGCTCTCCTACAGGATCTCAGACTTCTGGTATCACCAGCAGGGCCTGGAAATGGGTCACGTTGCAGTGGTTGCCAATAAGGTAACGTCATGTGCCTCACTGGACAGAAAATTACAGCCCATACTTAAGTTTTTGCCCTTTTCTGGATAAACAAAAAAGTCTAGCTGGGCAAGCACTTCCTAGGTGGTCAGAGACATCTCAGCAATAATGTCTCCAAAATGTTGTTGTCCTTATATAGCCTGCAAGACAGATTTATGCATGGTATTATGGCATGGGCTGTTTAATTTTTAGCATGTTCTGATTCTGAACGGTGAGACAGCCAGTGTGGTATAGCAGTTACGAGTACTAGAGCCGGACTTTGGAGATGAGGCTTCCAGCCAGCCACCACTTAGACATCAAACTCACTGGTGACTTTGGGCCAGTCACAGACCCTCAGCCTAACTTGCTTCACAAGTTTGTTGTTGTGGTGATAAACGAAGAGGAGGAGAACCCTGTAAGCCACATTATATTCCTCGCAGGAGAAAGAAAGGTGGAGTATAAACGCAAAGTAACAACAACAGCTTGTTGGAAAACTTGCTATGCTCCTCTCAAATAAAAGGCATTCTTTACATTCACTTCCAGTTCATGGTAACTCAACTTTTCTCTCTCACCAAGCTACAGTGCTGGATTGGGAAGACCTCTCATTGCATATAGTTTAATGGGCAGCCTTGGGTTAGTCCGTCTCTCAATTTCAACTGTGTTCCAGGGTTTATTGTGAAAATAAAAAACGGGGGGAGGAAGGAGGCAACAGAAGAATTAGGTGTGCTGGCCTGAGCTGCCTAACAGTAGGACAGGATGAAAGTGTTGTACCTAGAAGGCCCTAAGTTCCGTGCTCTTTTCACCTTTTTAAATGAATTACCAGAACACTTCAAGATTTTTGCATTTTAATCTATACTGCAAGATGAATGACTTGAACTGGGATTCTGTTTTACCATTACTGCCAACTTAGAAAAGCAATTTCATGTTTCATTCATTTATTTCTTTATTTTACACTGCTGCCGTGTTTTGTTTGTATTCAGCTTTCTTAGGCTGATTAGGAGTGTAGGTGTCTATTCAGAGAAGGCATTTAGATGTTACATTGTAAGTACTTTTAAACACAATCCAGGAGATGAGTTGTATTGAGTCTTCAGTTATCTGAAAAGTAACACGAGTTAATGTTGCTCCAGTACAAAATTCTCTTGAGAATGTCCAGACTTTTTCTGTTACAAAAAAGGATAGGGGAACAGATGACTCAATAAGAGTTAGTGACATTTCATTTAACCAAAACATAAGGAGGAGAAATTGTTATGAAGCAGAGACCAAGGGGGGGGGGGAGTAGAGAAAAAGAAGAAAATAGAAAGAAAAAGCAGACAATTCCTCATGTTACGTCTGGTGAACCAAGAGGGAAATCTCTACACCCACGGACTGGGATCTGCTCCAGGAGAGAAACCTTAGACCACTACGTCAACTTCTTACAGTAAACATGTTTTGTAGGTTTATATGGATCAGCTAATTTTTAATTTTTTTTTTATAAAGATGGAATGGATGGAATAATTTTAAGGGGTCTCAAAATGCTAGAAGACTTGCTATACTGGAGAAAAAGGTCTTATGTCAGTAGAATATTTGCCAAGTATCCTGCCCGAGTATGCAAGATGCCGTCTCTACTCAGAATGTGCTGGAGGAGTGAGGAGTGATACACCACAAAAGTTTCCATTGTAAGACTGCCACATCTGCATAGCCGGGCTGACTCACAGCCGAAGGCAACTCCCTGACTGGCTCTAGTCCAACAAAAGTACACCAGAGCAATTTATACCTTTCCAAAATGCAAATAATTCAAATTACAGACATAACATAAAGCTGAAACAGACACATTTCAGGCATTCCCTTTAAAATTTAACTCACTAGGTGGCTCTCTCCAGATTGTCTATTTTGTTGCTTATTTATAGATGCATGGGGACAAAAAACAAAACAAAATAGCAAACCACCCACTTCTACCCTGCACCCCACCTGTGATCTCTCCATAGGAATATTTTGGGAGATATATAACTGTCTTTGGTGAAGTCTTCTTACTTTCTCTTTCAGAGGTATTAACATAATATTTGACACTTTTAAAGACTGCTGAAACATTAGTTTTCTTTTTCTTTTCAGTTGGAGGTTTTATTCAAAAGTGGAAACAGCATTTCCAAAACAAATCTCGAAACCAACAATTAAAGGAAGTATATTAGCACTTTTAAAAAGAAATTAGCCCTTTATCACTTATCACTAAAGGCTCAGCTAATGTAAAACTCTTGAATAGTTTCTGAGTAGACGAATCAGTTTGAAGATTATATCCATCATGGGTTTAAGTATTCATTGCTGACACTGAAGCTGATCATTAGCTTCTTTTCTTACCTAACGGAAACAGACTCACTAAACAGCAGCAGAGATTTCCTGTTTGTACAGCTGAAGGGAGAGAGGGGGGAAATCCCAGAACAAGTAAAGCCCAGAAATAATTTGAGGCTTCCACCCTCACTTAGTGAGCTTTTCAATAATGTGTATTACAGAAAACAATGCACACGCAGGGCTGGTTCAGGGTTGGTTCATGCGCCAAAGCCCCTGGTTTTTGTATGCACATTTTCCTGGCATCACACAAGTGAAGGGGTTAACTGACTTGTTTTCCTAAAGCATTTCTGTGGCTGTGTTCTGTTGGCGTAAAACCAGAATCAACTGCAATTAACTCCTTCAAATACACACTTGTATGTGCTGTAGAAAACAGCCCTACTATGAAGAAACTTGATTTAAAATCTATCTGCATAGAAAGAGAGTGTATAACCCAACTGTAAGAGCAGTTTAGCAACAAAGGCAAAACAACACACCACAGTAACTTTTCCTTGCTACAAAAGAGATAGGAATGTTTCTGCGGAAGGACAGAGGTGAACTCGTCATCCTTCAGGGACAGCAGTCTGTGTTTTTCATACGAAGGCAAAGAGGTCCTGTCAGAAAGCCTGACATTTGCAGATTGATAACAGTGGCGGGCAATTCTGCACACCTACCTCATTGCCATATAGGCTGGTTTTGAATTGCTAAAAATATAAGCAGCGTTCTGAAATGGAATGGCTC